TATAATCCCCTTTGGGACACCTTGGTTCGACCCTGTTGTAGTTGAAGTTTTACCGCACCCTTTAAAGAAGGGCACATGAATGTTGACCTAACTGAACTGCCGGATTGTGAAAACATACCAAGACAGCCAATGAGAGAAGAGGCTGTGCTGTTTAATGCAGTATCGTGTTGAAGAGGGTGGTCTAGGAATAAAAAAAAAAAAAACCTCAAGAGTGCTTCAAGTTATGAAACCTGCAGAGATCTGACAGAATTATGAGGCAAGGGATCCAGTAAACTGCATAGATTAAACTTCTGCTAAATACTTTAAGAGATTTAATTGTACCAGGTATCTGCCCTAGTCATGTACTAGAGACCACAGAAACCCAAACATTAGCAGTTAACTGTAATTGCATGCTTGCTTGCGGACCCTTCCTCAAATTATCCCCAACATGCTCTGTGTTGATATTGCTTTCACGCTGGGTTGTAGTACTATTGCTCTAGGTAACCAATAAAAAGGAGGTACTGCCAACAGGCAGAAGTCCCTACACAACGAGAATGGTAGAGCTAGTTTTTATAGCTAGCATCCACTGGGAATGCCACACTTGGAGGTATGCTAGATGTGCACAATTACTGAGCAATATAGTATGCAGGAAATAAAATAGGTGCTCCCAAAACACTTTGGCGGCTAAGAGATGGTGGTCCCAGAAGATAAGTGTACGAAGTAGACACCAGACCTAGGGGATTTACGATGCCCAAGTTGCTGACAGCACGAAAGTAGCACTGAGGTTAACTGAATGGGTTGGTAGAGTCTGTAGTGCAACTACTGTATGCGGTGTAATACTAATAGAAAAAAAGGCCATACATTGTTTAACAAAACAGTAATATTCAAAATAGAAGTCGACCTATAAGAGGAATGCTTACATTTCAACATCTCTTGTAGATCTAAATGGCACTTGTGAGAGCTGAGAAAAAAATAGAAGTAGCTTAAATGCGGGGGGGAGGGGGGGAAAAATGAAGGTGTGTTAAAAACCAAGCGACACCCCAGAACAGCATTTGTGGAGGTTCTGGAGAGAGCTTATCTACAGACATTTAGCATAAATTCAACAAGGTTGACATCAGCATGGATTCTCCTGCACTCTGCAAGAGCAGCTTTCCAAAAGCCAAAAACTTGTTCCCTAATACCAGTCGTAAAGTTCAGATTCAGAAGACAGCAGGAAGTGATGCCCTTAAGATTTGTTTTGGGGGTTTTTTTGTTGGGGGGGGGGGGGGGGGGGAGGAGAAGAAAAGGGCAGGGTGCAAGTTTTTTTTTGGTAAACCAATTATCCACCATTTTCTATGAAAAGCTGTCAAGCTAATTATAAGAAGGAGCAATACCTCAACAGGTGGCTTGGGCCTAAGTATTCATTTCTGTGGTTGCTAAGGGAAGGTTTGAGTTGTAATTCAGACAACAGTTCACGGCTGTGTGTAGGAATGGCTCTCACTATCAAGGAAAGAAGCAAGCTTCCTCACAGCAGGAAGATAGTAGGACCACTCTAAACAAAAAGCCATCCTTACTACCTCTGCAGCTTTTGCCACAAGTTTGTTAGGTAGTTCTACATCATTTCACTTCAATCTTATTTCAGGAGCCGAAAGTCTCATTTAAAAAAAAAGTGATCTTGCAAAGCAGATCCAAATGCCTCTTCATGCTGCAATGAATGGAAGAAGCTCTAATGGAGTGAAGAGCTTCATTTCTTTTGCATGGTCCTGAGGTAATGCATAGAACACACAAAACCGTGGTTTTTAAGTGATTTACGTCAGAAGACTAAGATTGTGGATGAATCAAGATCTTACCTAGTTTGGTTACCTTTTGCTATAGAGATGCAGTCCTAAAGCCATGGAGGTATCAGGCTCTATCCTGGAAGGATATGTTCTCTTCACCACAGACCTAATATAGTACTCTGGTTCATATAACACCTTAGATAGCTGACTGGTGGAATAGCAGCTCCAAGAATGTCTCCCTCATGAGTTAAGGGACCATGGGGTCACAGATGGCTTTGGAACATACCTCATAAGGCCTTCCACATAGAACCTGTCTATGGAAGGGATACATTACTGCTTTTCATTTGCCAAAGAGGGAGCCTTTTTGGAAGAGTAAAAGCAAGATGGGGCTCAGTATTGACCAGATACCAGACTAAGCCTGATGGGAGACAGAGAGCTGAAGAGGAGGGAAACAGGAGAGTCCCACACAAGTCTTCTCCAGTTCTGGGTTTCAAAGTTGTTAACTTCCCTTGGCTGTAGATCCAATTTCAAATACAATATGAATATCCAGAGACTAGTTGGTTAAAAAAATTAGACACTGAATATGTTTACCCTAAGCTTAAAATAAGGTTTTATTGATTGGAGAACTGTTCAATTCCATAGTGAATTTCACTGTCTCCATGAAACAGATCATATGAATTTTGTTCCTCTGAAGCCCTTCTTCACTTGATAACATTTCCTATTCAACAAACTGGTTATTTTCTACTGATAAACAGCTTGATTCTGCAGATTTAGCCCACCCCACCTGCAGGCTTTCAGGCAGCCTGGCTACCACATCCAGCCCCTGAAGGTCTCCCAAACAGCCATGCAGGAGAACAATCCTTTTTACCCATCCACATTCTCTTCCTACTCTCCACAAAGTGGGTGCCTGCGTATACATCAATTCAGGGCAGCATTTTTTAGTTTCAATGATCCCTGGCAAAGCAGTTTGCTACAGCATCTAATTCTCTTCCAAATCCACTGCTGGATTATTTGCAGATACAGGAAGAGAAGAGGTGAGGGAAAGGTGTCAGTGCAACAACCGAGCTTTAGGGTACGTCCTAGAACCCAAAGTACCGTATGCATGGCCATGGGAAACCCCTCATTGATGCTAGTGCTGAAAGGCCTACAAGCAGAAGGAAAAATAGCAGCAACCCACGCGCCCCTCACTACAAAAAAAAAAGATTAGGAGAAAGATAGAACACCCATGTGTGTAAGTTTCACTTAACCCTCAGTTGCTCACTGATATTTTTAATGGGGAAAAAAAAAATCTCTTGAGGCAAGCAAGACTCTTGAATGAGACTGGACCAGTTACATTGTAGGTAGGCTGACCCCTGGATCATCCCAGAATCTGGGAATATACTCTGCCATCATACTGATGGTATTTGAGACTTAGCCTTCTGCTTAAGGCTTGAATTTGAATATAAATCCAGATCTCTTATTTCTTCATCTTCCATCAACTGCATAAGGATCCATTAGAAGAGATTTTAATTTGCATGCTCTCCTTTAACAAGCTACCCCAATACATATTACATTGAACTACACAATGAACCTTTCTTTCATAAAAGCCTCAATACAAAAGCCTTCTTAGCAGCTAACCCAAGCTTTAGAGCAGTGGTTCTCAAACTAGGGCCGCCATTCGTTTAGGGAAAGCCCCTGGCGGGTCGGGCCGGTTTGTTTACCTGCCACGTCTGCACGTTCGGCCGATCGCAGCTCCCACTGACCGCAGTTCGCTGTTCCAGGCCAATGGGGGCTGCAGGAAGCGGCATGGGCTGAGGGACATGCTGGCCACCCTCCCTGCAGCCCCCATTGGCCTGGAGCCGCGATCGGACGAACCTGCGGACACAGCAGGTAAACAAACTGGCCCGGCCTGCCAGGGGCTTTCCCTGAACAAGCGGCAGCCCTAGTTTGAGAACCACTGCTTTAGAGGACGGACAAAAGCATTTCTCCCCACTCTGTTTAAAGAGAACAGGGAGGGGATGCACACTAGCCAGAGGCATGTGAGTGAGCCACTGGGCTAATGTAAGTGGCTTGTCGAGTTAACTCACAAACCTTAATACATTTTTAAAATACAATATTCAGTTTCATTCTTCACAGATAAACAAAGGTTCCAATTTTAACGTGCTTGCTAGGAGTCCAAGCTCCCTGGTAGGCTTCTCCAGATCCTGCAATGGCACAGCACTCCAGTACACCATGGCTAAGCTGTCACACATGAGCCACAAGGCTCTATCTAATATTAAATAATCCACCCCAAACTTGTACTGCAGCAAGTGATAAAGAAAGTTTACACATTTAGAGATCACTCTAGCCACAGCCAGCCACCAGTCAAATGCACAGATGTTGTTTATTATTATTTTTTTTAAACGTGAAGGACTTGTGAAATTGGATTTCTTGATTTCATACAACTGGCACCATGCTTTGTTTCTTACCCTCTTGAAATTCCCAGTCCCAAAGGCTTCCAAACTTGCACTTGCTTAGGACAGCAAGAACAGGGAGGGGATGCAGACAGCGAGTCTATTAGACACCTTGGTGAACCACGTTTCCCCCATCCCCTTCCCTCAAATCCCAAAATTGTTTGGGTTTTCCATAGCCTATTGTGTTTATCATCACTCTTGGCTAAGTAAACTCAATCCGGAAAAGGAGTTTAAGACAAATCTATGTTTGCTTGTACAGTACGTGAGTAAACAGAGGAAAAGAAGCAGGACAACCAGTGAGTGAGTTCATAGACCATCATTTCCAGGTGTACCTGCCTCACAGTATTCTATTTACATAAATTACAGAAATTTCATATATATTTTTCTCTGAAGCCAATTAGACAAATATCTACCTATATATAATATATAAAAAATACAGAGCTTTGACTCTTCCTTTTGAAGTAAAATGTACATGATCCAACTGTGAGCAGAAAGTAATCCTGAAAACTCAGGCCCTTTGCTACTGGAGTTAACACTGCACACAATGCTCCTGTCAAGTGTAGCTATGCCCTCCTTCCTCCCCACCCCATAAAATAAACAATCCACCCCCACCCCATCCATTCAGAAAAAAAATCCAAATCTTAATACACGTTTTCATGAAAAAATTTTCAAGTAAAGATGAAGATGGGTTTCACCATTTCAACAGTTCTGTGACTTCAATCAGTAGCAATGCAAGTGAAGCCCGTGCAATGGCAGCTGTGCTTCCTCTTTTCAAAGACCACCAAAACATCTCCTCACCTCTTCACAATTACCATCTTTGGGGTTTTGTTGCTTTTTTTTTTTTTAAATACCAATAACAGTTCTTAAAGAAAAAAAATTTTAAACAAAGGGAAAAAATCCCTCCCCAGGAAAAGTCTTCCCACTTCTCCTTTGTCCATTTACAGTATGTTTCAAGGGGAGCTTGGCCCATGTCCAATGGCGCGGTCCACTGAAGGAGAGCTGTGAAAAGGTGAGGGGCGAAACTTTGCTCTTGGCAGATTAGAGTCTTTAACAAAGAGTAAGATGTGCAAAAAAAATTAAATAGATCAACCCTAGCTTCCAGGATTAATGTTGTCAGAGAAGAGAATGCTTAACTTTTGATTTGTGTTCCCCGCCCCCCCCACTGAAATTTCATTTAAGTACCCGAGGTAACAAGTGATAATATTTGTGAAAGATCACCACAAATTAAAACAAGAGGTGCAATTTGTTACCTCCGTGTCCTTCCTCCACCTTGGTGCCTGCTTTAGAGACATGTATGCAGCAGCAAAAAAAAAAGTGTAAAAAATAAAATCCCCTTCTTTCCATGAGAGCAAAGCATTGCTTCTAGCTGTTCTCGAAGGAGGAACTGTTTCCTAATGGGTTGGCATGGGTGTTTGCGCCTTCCGTTCGTAAGGAGGGGGGAAATGGGACTATAACTCTGGCTGCTCCCAGTTGATTTCTGGCAAGTTTGTGGTGTTCTTCCCCATCTGAACACATTATAGCTGGAAGCCTTCCATAGGGGCCTCAGGCTGCTGGAAGATGAATTGCTGCTGGTTCTCGTCTACCTGGGGAGCCAGGTTGGAGTCGTCATCCTCTACTCCAAAGTAGTGCTCAATCAAATCAAAGGCCTTCTGGTAGATTTCCTGGTTCTCATGGCTCTGCAGGAACTCTATTTTATCCAAGCCTTAGGAAAGAGAAAAATGGAATGTGGCAAGACTGATCAGAACATCCATACTATTCCCAGCCCCCATCCATCCTTCACCCTTTCAACTGTGTGGGGCCACAAGACCACCATTTGTTCAGCTTGCATTTTGCCCAGAGTTAGAATATCTTAAAACACACACACGTGCGCGCTCCATTACTCCAGAAGAGCTTTTGGATTGAATCTCTCTCCCAGCCCATGTTTAAAGGGTCCAATTAAAACTTAGTAAGATGAGGAGTTGTTCCTATTTGGAGGATACACCACAAATCAGAAGTCTCACAAGCCAGATCATTTACAGAGCACCAACAGTGCATGAGGCACTTCGGACTAAAAAAGGAAGACAGGTCCTTGCCCCAAAGAGCTCACATTCTGGAGAGACAGAGGAGGAAGTGGGAAGAGAAGTGAAGTGACAAGACTAGACTGATCTCTCCAGGGTAGGAACTGTGCTTCTCTTGTTTTTCATTAAGTGACTAGCACACCTTTGGGCCCTGTAAAATAAGTGATTTTTATGCAGGTGTCTTGTTAGTATCTAAAAGAAAATTATGGAATTGTCATTCGTTTTCCTGAAGGGCAGCCCTAACTTGGGACATCAATGATGCCAATTTGTGAGAGCCCCAACTTTATCTTCAATCACCTCCAGCATCTTGGATGCAAGAGACTTCTGGTCCAAGGAATCCATTTGGCACTTACACCTTCCCTCGTACTCATCCTAGCTACCCGTAATCACAGAATGCAACAAGCCACAGAGCGTGTGCTTATACAGACTAACTATTGGGGTAAAACAGCAGTTAATCCAGAACTTCTAGCATCCCTCATCTCATACACATTTGAAGTTCAGAGGAAGTGGACCAACACTTTCAGCAATAGAGCGTAAGCAGCCTCTAACACAGTGGTTCTCAAACTTCCCCCCCCCATGGACCACTTGAAAATTGCAGAGGATCTTGGCAGATCACTTAATGATCTTTCCAAATGTTGTTTGTACCGTTCGCTAACTATTGTAAAGCGCTTTGGATAAAAACGCTTTTTTAAAAGACCTTAAACATTTTTTGTTCTACAAATAAAAGCACACAACTCATATTTTAATATCAGTAGTCTTACCTTTCTAAGGCAATGGATGTGCCCTCTCCCTTGCCATGGCAGCCCCCGAGCTGGGGCTGGGAAGGAGGGGGGGTCTCCCCCACCACAGAGCTGAGGCTGGGAAGGAGGGGGGTCTCTCCCCAGCAGCTGCAGCCCTGGAGCTGGGGAAAATGTGCTCTCTCTGGCCACCACAGCCCTTTATGTCCCAAATTTGCCTCACCCCACTGCCCCTTCCCACCTACCCCATCTTCCCCCCAAGGCCACCACCTCACCTTACATGTGCATCCTCTTCAGGGTCCAGACACCTAATCAGTGGAGCCACGCTTGCGTGGCTCCACAGTAAGGTGGGTGGCTCTTCATTCTCTCATGTGTGGCTGCCCAGGCACGCACCTGAGAGGGAACTATCTGCGGACCACCTGAATGGAGCTCATGGACCACTGGTGGTCCACGGACCACAGTTTGAGAACCTCTGCTCTAACACATATCCTGCATTACTTCCTCCTGGGAACAAGTCACAGCAGCAAGGCCAGTGAGAGCCACTTACCATAGGCTTCCTCAATGAGGCTGCAGTAGGGGTTGATGCCTGTGCCACTTTGCTTGGCCTCCTGCTCACCGAGCCGCAGAATATTCTCCAGGCCATTCAGGGCCACTTGAACAATCTTGGAGTCCATGACAGTCAGCAGGTCACATAGAGGTTTGATACAGCCTAGGTTTACCAAGTACCTGAAGAGAAGACACAGGGAAGACAAACATTCAATTTATCAAGAAGGAAGGTTAAGTAACATTGTGACATGCATTTAGGTTTAAAGGGACACTGACAGGTTTAAGGAAATTTGTATTTTAAATATTGCCTAACAGGTAACATCCTTTTCACCATTAGCTCTCGAAGCTGGGTGTTTAAATTAAACACTTTAACCTCTAACAACCAGGGCCCTTATTTACAATGTGTTAACACTCAACTCCCATTGAAGTCAGAATCCAGATCTATTAAGGTGCCTGACTTTATAGGCAGGCAAGTTTTGACGTTCTAGACTGGTTTGTCCAAGCTGCATAAACGACACAAAGTAAACTATGAAACTGGAGTCATCTGTATCGCTTGTTTACAGTCACATGCACTATTTAAATCCCACCAAAAAACTTCACTGGAATTTAAAAAACAAACAAAACATTCGCATGGGTCTTAAATTTTGCAGCATATTTTTAAAATTATTTAGCCTATAATTAGCCAGGTATTTATATTCTTTGATATGGTGAAAGATTTATACCCAACATCTGTTTAAATTTAGACTTGCAAAATTATTTGTGCATTTCCTACACAGGCTGCAGAAAAACAAAGTTAACACCACTAATTCACCTGCATAGAGTCCATATTACATTTTTCCTGGGTAAAGCACACAATACTGGCAGTTATAGGGGCACCTTGTAATGCTGCTGCTTCTATTAGATGCAAGCTTAACAGAATTTTAAAGACATAGAAATGTACTTTGAATGAAGCAAATCAGAAAGGGTTTTAAACCCAAGTGCAAGTACTGATGGATTAGGAAATTTAAGTGCTTCACTGGGTTTTGAATTGTATCAGAGCCAGAGTGTGAGCATATGCATGTCAGGTACATGACGCAGACCAGATACTTCCAGAATTAGACTGCATGGCCAAGATGCTAAAGATTTGTAAGTGCATCCTTTGTGTGGCACAAGATTTTTAAATAGATACTGTTTAAAAAACACACCTCAAATGTAGCATAGTTATATAAAACAGTTACACTAATCTATAGCTCAGACTTTGAACAATGACTCTTCTGGTTCTCAACAGCTACAGTCTCGATGGTAAATACAGAAGCAGCACCAGTAACTTATCCCTACTCGAATGGCTTTACAGCAAAAATGTAGTCTCTTCATTGAAAGAATTAGAGCCTAGAGAAAGCTATAAATACATGCTGGATCTCTGAATAGGTCTTGGAGCTTCTTTCAAGGCCAAGGTAGCCAGAGGAGTCGACGGATGGATGGCCACAAATGCGGATGGCAAACTGATTGTACAAATTTGCTATAGCTTGATGGAGTCAGAGACAAAGTACACATAAAAACAGCCTCTCAACGTACCTGATCTGCTCTGGGGTTCCTCCTGATGTCGCATTCGTGATGGCCCAGGCTGCCTCTTTCCTTGTGCGGAATTCTGCTTTCTGTAAGATTTCTATCAGCACTGGGAAAATGTTTGCATCTATGACTGCCTGAAGGAAGAAGAGAGAAGCAGCATTTAGGACAGGCCAAGCGACTCCTAAAAAGCTAGCAGGCTCCGGGAACCGAAACCTATAACCTTTTCAGTGATCCTCACCTGCTTCTCCTACCATGTCCTGTAAGTGTAAGATTAAGTTTACTATCCAAGAACTTAATCTCCTATTATTGCACCAATACCAAAGTCAGTCTTTGGTCACTGTGTGCATCTGTTTGGATTTAGGCCCTTTGTAATTCTCCTTTCTATCAAATGCTGTACACCGACTGAAAGGCGTTATTCTAGGTGTACATCTGAACTTTGGAACCACAATGAAGAGGCAGATTAATCCCCACCTCCCCAAGCTCACTCAGTGATTAGACATTTAGAGCATGTTTCAGACCAGGTGCCATTTGTGGGCACAGTTAGAGTCACTTAGATGTCTAACTATCGTTGTGGGGGCAGTCAAGTAGAACAATGACACTAATTGTGCCTGCAAATAACCAGAGAAAAGAGGGAAGTCCAGGGTGTAAAATGTGGCCTTTAAACACCAACTAAGAATCACATAAGCTTTGTTGTAATGGTGCTCCATGGATCCAAGAGTGTTGCAGGTGGGCCTGGCGAGGATTCTGGAAACTTTACCTGTATCTGAGCCCTGTTTCCAGCTGTGATGTTAGAAATGGTCCAGCAAGCTTCCTTCCGGATAGACTCTTTGGGGCTGCTTAATAAATGAAGCAGGCAAGGCAGAGCTGAGCAGTTCAGGATCACCTTAAGAGAAGAGTACAGGATACGATGACACCATTCGCCTTCCTCCACTTCTATAGTGTGGATACTTTCAGCACATCTTTACTGGATTCTTATGGGGAAAAATATTTTCTTCCAACATTTTCCAGAAACTCCTGCCACTGAATGAGGTGTTCCATTAGGCAGCAGCAGGAAGAGAATGCTTTTCCTATCTCAGAGAGGCATGTGTAGCATCAGACATCCCAATTGCAAAGTGTTCTACCAGGAATGCGCTGTGTGGTTCAGGAGGCAGACAGAAGACAAGCCTCCCTCCACTGCATCCTGCTCCTCATCTCCTGTTGTAGCAGAGCTCAAGGAGGATGAGGCGGCAGAGGCAGAATATATCATCCCTAGTTCTTGGATGCTGGAAATGAGAAATTTCAGTGACTGGAGTCCTGAGACTTGTCTCCCTACACAAACACTGGCTACAATGAGATACTTGTATACACTATATTGTTCACAAGCACCAATACACAGAAGGGACTTTTGTTGTTGTAGCTAAATCTTGAGCCATGCCAGCATGGCTCAATTCATCTTATGGGCAACCCTGCAGGTTGAGCCATTCCTGTTTTGATTAAGGGGTGGGTGTTCTAAGCTAGATTTCATCTTCTAGTGGCAAGCCTAGAAATCTGAGCGCAGATCTGTCATGAGAACTTTACTCCCTCCTCTTAGTGATGATCTGGGTTTTTATCCGAGACATTTTTAACGCTCCCTCCTGCTCAAACACTGAATATGAGAAGACCTAGTCACATCCCACTCACCTGGGTCTGGATGTCATCACCCGTCACAATGTTGCCTACAGCTCGCAAAGCTGGGGAAGCTACTTTATAATCATTGTGCCTGCAAGAAAGAGGAAGGGAAAGAAACATCAGTCCAAGCCCTTTGTAACAGAATCCCTCCACCCTCTTCACCCCCCATTTAGTTAAAATTCCACCATCAGAAGCACACAGCAACATGTGTCCAAACCAAAGACGGTCACTGAAAGAGCAAGGATTGCGTCACCATAAGAACATTCTTTGTCCTCTTACAACCATAAGCTTCATCATGGACCACTTCCTGTCACCTTCAAATCACTCCTAACTTTAGTCTTTCATGCCCCTCCTCACTGTTGTGGCATCCAATTAACAGTAACCAGAACACTCCTGAAAATGCATTTATTTTCAAACCCTCAAGATGCAATGCAAATGAAAGCCATCTGCATTAGACAACACACAAACTCATCAACAGATCTAAAATAGAGCCATGACTCTACAGATTGTTCAATGGATAAATATTACAGGAGTGTCAACAAAAGACAAGTTTATTTGGAAAGTGCTGTATTTATTCTGTTATTGATCTTTTTCTTCTAACATTATAATAGAGCTAACAAAAGATTACTTTAAGCTTCCATAGAGGAGTTTTAAAGTCGTAGAGCAGCACAGAGTGTACTGTCTTAGTCTGGCATCAATACCATAGCCTTTGCCTATTCATGGGTTAGACTAGTCTCAGGACCAGCATGGTCTTGGTGTATCATGCTCTTCCTAGCATAAGGCACTACAGCTACTCTTCCAGCACTATACAGAGACTTTCCCTCCGTCCGATAGACCAACACAACCCATGTCACGTATTCCCATATACCCAAGGATACTAGATAATCCCTCTGACACAAGCAGCCTTAGTTTTCTGCCCATTGGGCACCAATTTGAAAACATTAGTGCTGTGGTGAGCTTTACCTTGATAAGCAAAGGTTAACAAGACAAACCCATATTCACATGGGCTGTTCGGTCCAAGGTCTTTGCCTCTTATGCAGGGCAACACACTTACATTAACAGCTCTACCAGTCGCCGACACACCCCGGAGTCTATTACTGCTTGGATTTTCTCATTGGGGCCATCTGATAGGTAGGAGAGTGCCCAGCAGGCATCTGCCAGCAAGTCGGAGTCACTGCTGAATAATAATCGGGATAATACCGGCAAGCAAGGAGACACCTAAAATAAGAATAACCAACCACCCCCACCCCAGAGAAAGAGTTTAGAAAAGGTTCCTTCAGAAGAGGCAAGGCAGCTTTGTGTGCAAGCTATGCCAAGTGTCTGTGTGTGTGAATGATGAACTGGATGCCATCCTGTGGGCGGGTGGGGTTCTCACCTAGATTTCTAAACCCACCACGATTAACAGCACCAAAGAACTGGTTCAAGTAACATCAGAAACCAAAGTTTCCATTCATACATTTGTTACATAGGACCTTACATATATTGTTCAGGGGCCAGTTGTCTGACAAAGTGTTGAGAATTGTTGATGTCATGGGGGTAGTTTTGGATACACAGGTTTCTACATAGTTCACAAAAACTTGTAGCAAAAGAGATTCATGTTACAACAGGGCCTCTCCAACGCTCACTAACTCAGCATATAAGGGGTCATCCCTCTCCAAAACCAATATCCAGTTATAAGCTTTTTACCATTCTTTATAAAATGAGCAACAGCTGGACTGTTTGCAGCTTGGATGACAAGCACTCTTCTCATGTAAGAAAGCCACCTCATTCCCTGCCCCTTTGATAATCTTGAACAGCCAGTACTGTCGACAGACAGCCACCCAAACAGTCACCACCATACTTGGTTAACCTATGTAACAGTGCACAGCCTTACACATATTTCTAACTATACATCATTCAAGCTTCTCCAGCCTTATCAAGGGAGTTGTCAAGTAACAGACCTTAACCACACAGTGTTAACCAAAATAGGGAGTAAAGGTCCTCCAGTCCTGCTTAATGTTCATGCTGTTACTGACCATCTTTTTTAAGAGGACAGGGGCACCAAACGGAAGGGGTGCGGAGAAGAGAAGGCCTTCCCTGGGTAATAAGTAAGTCTGCTGTGAAGGAGTTCTATATTTTGAAGTTCACAGTTTGTTCCAAAGTTTTGAGTTCTCACTGAAGAGAATGGAGCCCCAGCTCTGGGGCAGCCTGCATGGCCTAGACCAGGGGTAGGCAAACTATGGCCTGCAGGCTGGATCCGGCCCCTGAGCCATTTTAATCTGGCCCTCAAGCTCCCGTTGGGGAGTGGGGTCTGGGGCTTGCTGCGCTCCAGCCAGGGAGCAGGATCGGGGGCCGCTCCGCACGGCTCCCAGAAGCAGCAGCATAGCCCCCCTCTGGCTCCTACGCATAGGGGCAGCCAGGGGGCTCCGCATGCTGCCCCCGCCCCAAACACCACCCTGCAGTTCCCATTGCCCGGGAATCATGGCCAATGGGAGCTGCAAGGGCGGTGCCTGTGGACAGGGCAGTGCGTAGCAGAGCCACCCAGCCACACCTCCGCATAGGAACTGAGGTGGGGAAGGGGGACACGTCATGGCTTCCGGGAGCCATTTGAGGTAAGCGCCACCCACCCTCCGTGCCCCAACCCCAATTTTGTGAGCATTCATGGCCTGCCATACAATTTCTATACCCAGATGTGGCCCTCAGTCCAAAAAGTTTGCCCACCCCTGGTCTAGACCTTGGGGTCTCTGACTCAGAGGCAGTCCAGCAAGTGGACTGCAAAGGAGCCCAGGAATGGAAAGCTAGCAGGAAACAGGCAGGTTTCAAAAGCTGCCTAGCAGCCCGTGTCCCATCAGGCCCCTGCCTTATTCCCAGCAGAACTTCATCCATCTCCATCAGATGTTTAGACAGAGATCAGCAAATGCCAACAAATGTTTAGTCTGAATGTTTCTGACGACCTCTAGAGGTAGCAGACCTCAGGGTCTTGCTGGGGTTCCCCCTCCACAACAGCTTCTGTTCACATTAACAGGAAAGGATTCATTCCTCACCTTGTCAAATTCAGGTGGTGGGTTCTTCCCTCTGCACAAGTTTGATAAGGCCCAGACAGCATTTCGAGTCATTGTCAACCTGGTGGACTTGGTGAGGAGCCTAAAAAGAGAATCACCAGCTATTATACTCCCAGGTTAAGTCAGTTTGAGTTGCCTGTAAACCAGCACGATTCAATATGAAGGAACGCAATAAGAGTCCAAGAAGTTCGAGACAGCTGCACCCACTTGCTAAGCCCAGGTCTGAAAAATTCAGATCATGCTAATGTTGCATATTTCATGAGCCTCACGCACGGATCATGAAGAAAGATGAACTGTGGCTACCCCTAGGGCAGAAACAATAGCTGTTTAACAGCACAACTCTGAACAGGAAGCATATACTGTCTTCAACTAAAATTGCAGGGGGGAAATTTAGGTTGGCAGAATGCGATTTCCCACGATTGAATTTGGCTAAGACATCCAGAGAAGCACCCATACTCTTATGAAGAGGTTCATGGGATATTCAGTTACCACAAATGATCAGGACCTCATTTTTAGATCTCATCTGAAGAGATCAACAGCTTTAGGCCTCCAGAATACTAGTTCAGTACTGACCCAGGAACAGAGCTATTTGCAATACAATCAATGCCACTTCTTGTGTGGGGTTTTTTTTTTGGGGGGGGGGGGGGGGGGGGGGGAAGACTACACAACTTTACAGAAATTATGGTGAAAGATTTGAAAATGCTTTCAACAAACTGGGATTTCTGCTGGTAGCAACCTCATTGCCAACACTGATAGTATGGCAGATTTAACCTGTAGTAAAGTACATTTCAGGAGAAAACCAGTTTTTAAAGAGCTAAATCTTTAACCTTCTTAGAGGGCCCAGCAATTCCAGTTGAAATTAGAAGCTTTGTTCTCTAACACTTCATGGTTTATACAGAGCGAGAAGTTCCCACCCAGCTCTTAAGACTCTGCATGAAATAAGATGGGGCAATGTGGTACTTTCCTCTTGAACCATGACCAGCTCTGTGCACCTGTCACAATCACCACCACAAATAAAATCAATCCCTTAGCTCTTGGACACCAAAGTCACCAGCTTACCCTCTAGGAGCCTGAAGTCAGCAGCTACAGTAAGAAAAGTCTGTTGACTTGCTTGCACCACATGTGGCAAAGCACTTATCTTGCCACTAGAAGCAGCATCACTTCACCCAGAATAGGATGGGGCAATTTAGACAGTTTTGAGAGTAATTAATATGGCTAGTACTTGAAAGCACTCAATCTAGGTGAATCTTCCCATCTCCATTTCTAGTGTGCTGAAGCAGCTGTCAGGACTCGAGTGTTAAACAAACAGAGGAGAGGGCACAGTGCAAACTCCTCCTTCTCCTCAACCCTGGGAAGACCTCAGACTAACAGGTTCCTGACGTTTATAGTGTAGCTGTATTTCTTTGAGTTAGGATGACCAGATAGCAAGTGTGAAAAATCAGGACAGGGGGTGGGGTGGATAATAGGAGCCTACATAAGAAAAAGCCCCAAATATCAGGACTGTCCCTATAAAAATCAGGACATCTGGTCACCCTACTTTGGGTTCTCTGCACTTACTGTATATGCACTTCTAAATAGGCCCTGTGACTTCAGAAAGGGCTGTCTGGCATACTCTGCAACAGGCGCTCATGCTGTGCACAGCAAGCGTAAGGATGCGTGAGAAGGTGAGTTATCTAGCAAGTCCTGACATGTTGTATCAGACACCAGTCTCATCTGCTAACTCATCTGATGCTTATTTGCAGGCTAAGCTGACTCCCAACACACACACACACTCTTAGGTAGTTCTGTTCACCCAACTTGGACACCAAGAGGATACTCTGCTTTAGTACATTGGGGCTTTAAGAACTGTATTGCCAAGTGTTCATGGCTACTCACAGTAACAAGGGAGGAAGAATAGAGCAGTTAAGAACATAATCTCTACACACAGAGCTGTCTCCAGCGATGTTCCCCAACGCCCAGACAGCCTGGAAGGAAAGAGCAGCAGTTTTAGCATTCACACAGTCTCGGAATAGAGGAAGAAGGGAGCACTGTCCTAGGAAAATGTTTCTATGGCTCCAAGTAACTAGGCCAAACTGACAGAAGCTCCTGCTCGCCAAACACTTTCATGCATGTTAAACACTTAGTTGAAATCCAGTGTCTAGAACACTCAGCCTATCCCCAGAAAACTGTAATGAACCATACCTGTTCCTGGACATCCTCAAAGTCAGAGTTTAACAGTTCTATGAAGATAGGAACTGCCCCTGCCTCAATGACTATTTTTGTTTGTTGGGAGGTTCCTGATGCAATATTCGTCAAAGCCCACGCCGCTTCAAACTGAAACAAGCACATCAGTAATAGGTTACACAACAGCTGCACAATGGCATAAGCCCAACAACCCTAACCAGAGCAAAACATTAGCTATGGATTTTGGCCTATTCTCCTTTCATCTTGTGCTCTCACGTCTACAGGGGGAATTGTTTTATGAGGCAACAACTTTTCCTCCATAATCTGGCTGCTCACTGAGCGCGCTAGTTTCTGGCACAACAATGGTAGTTCTAGGGAAATCTACAGCTTTTTTAGGAGAGGGGTGGATTTTGGGTTACCCAGGGTAGACCCTGCCCACACCCACCTGAAGCAAAGGGAATATCATTTTAAGGTCTTTGACACTGAAAAACTGGAGCAGTTGCACACATGTCTCCTCTCTGCGCCAAGACTGCAGTTCTTCTCAGCATGGGATTAACAAGGCTGCAGCTCACTTCCACTTTTCAGTGGTCAGGCCGGAAAGCACTACCTCACCACCACCACACCCCAAAGCCTCAGACCATTCCCCACTATGAGGAATGCAGTCTCAAGGTGGCCCAGAAGAGTTCCTGACCAGATCTTTGTATTGGGTGGGAAGTGAAGAGATTGTTCTACTCAAACAGCCAACTCTATCCCATGCCACTCCCCTGGATACCAGCACAGGTTTGGCATTTGTTATTCTGAGCCCCAGGTGAGGCAGAGCTGCATATTTTGCTCTTTATCTCCCTTTGCTGCATGCTTTCACGAGTGACTAATGGCTAAGCTCCCATTAAATTCTCCTTGGAGATTGATCCCTATGACATGAGACCTCCTGGAGGAAAAGGAAGTAGATGACCATCTTCATAACACCCTCAGTTGGATGTGAGAAAATGTCGTCTCCTCAAAGAAAAAAGAGGCTCATGCTCTGCAACTTCTGGGCTCTAAGATACCACCTTTGCCTGCTCGCTGCTGTAAGATTCACACCGCTCAGCTCTGAAGTGTCATCTTATTTAAGTGCTTTTTATTCACAGTATGAATCCTTCACGGTACTCTCCTTTACCTGTAGTGTGCAATTTTCACTTCTCTTCAGGAATTCAACAAACCTGTCCACCACTCCCTGAGTATTTATCACTTCATCTATCGGAGGATTCGGCTCTAGGAAGAAGGAGGCAGGGTCAATACTCAGTAGGGGCATTTAAATTTAATACGGAGGTCAAGTTCATTGCATTAAATCATCCACGCCAACAATTTTAACTTGTACTTGAGCTGACAAAGCAACTAGCCAGAAGAAGGCTTTTTCCACAGTTCACCCAGCTGTAAGTCACGGGAGCATTTTCTAAATGCTGAAAAGCCAGTAAAAGACCATACTAATGGTCAATATAGGTTTGGTATTCCCTCCCCATCCAATGTTAATCAGGAACAGACATGGCAATGGGCATAAGTAACAGATGGAATTCTTCTGCCCCCAAAGTTATTAATTCTCTGTACAGCACCAAGACTGTGCTAAGTGCGTCAGACAGATAAGACAGTTACCTATGAGAGCTTATGAGCTAGCTAAGAAAAGGCGCTCTGCTTTTACCTTTGGAGAGCAGTTTCCTGAATTTCTGGGTGGTCGCTAGCTGCAGATCAGGGTCCTCTGAGAAAAGCATCTCTACCATCTCTCTCGTGATCACTCCCTCCTAAGACGGCAGGAAAAACAATGTCAGAACCACAACTCCAAACTTATGGTTGCAGACCTCAAAAATCAGAACAACTTAGTACCACCAGAATCCTGTGCTCATCCTTTTGATCTGAAGGCTAATCCAAGTCAGGACCACACTACTCTTGAAAGTCTAATCCTAGAAGGCTTTTAAAACTCACCGGAGTCCCATCTGCAATATTCGTAGAAGTGACGAGTACATGGGGTTACGAAGGGTAGTGAATTAAGGAGTACTAGGGCATGGTACCGATGCATTTGTAAAGGGTTAAAGTTTGTTGATTTTGTGATCCACAGAATTAAGAGTCTGTAAGGGAGGGACAACGTTACTCAAGAAGCCTTACCCCAGCTGTGGCAGTGCTGACATAGGAATCCATGAGGAGGCTATCAAACATGGCAGCATCTTCATTAATAAGTTCCACATTTCTCCTTTTAAATAGCTGAAAAGAGATTACAACCAGAGTGAGTGGTATCGGTCACAAGGCAATGCCTGACTTAGAGCCATCGCAACTGGGCAGTCTTGTTCCACAAACAAAATATGCCATGTGCTAGACCAAGGGCAACTTAATAAGGGAGTGGCAGCTTAACACACTAGCTTAGCACCTCTGCAGAATAGTTTGACCTATGAATCCTGGTAAGAGTGGACCAAGTCCTACCCTTAGTAGTATCCATGGATTTCCCTGGGACTGTATGGCGTAGGCAAGTGCGGAACTTGGCCCAATGAGTTTAGAAAAGAAGAGCCAGGTTGTGGACCAGGGTTGAGGCACAGGTAGAGTTGTGCGGGAAGCTTGCAGCATTTGCCAGTTCTACATGTGGTCCTAGCTACAGTAACTCCTCACTTAACATTGTAGTTATGTTCCTGAAAAATGTGACTTTAAGAGGAACGATGTTAAGTGAATCCAATTTCCCCATAAGAATTAATGTAAAGGGGGGTGGGGGTGTTAGGTTCCAGGGAAATTTTTTTCACCAGACAAAAAAAGACATTATATGTGGTTTGACTCTCAGCTGTGGCTAGATAAGTGAATATCCTCTGGCCCCAGAGCTCTGGTGAGGGTGTGGGCCAACACCACCCCCACTCCTAGGCCTGCAGAGTCCTCCCCGTGCAAGCTCTGTGGGTTTGGGCTTGACACAGGAGCCAGGCAGAGTAGGCAAGCGGCAGCACATAGGAAGGGACACTGTGCTGCATCCTTCCCCAGCACCCAATGGGGATGTCTCTGCTGGCCTCAGAGCAGCAGATCACACAAATGCCTGATCCAGTTCGTCAATTAATCCCCCCACCTCCCACAGGGTGCTGGGGAGACCAGTCGTCTCCTAAGAGAACCAATCTGCCAGGTTGCATGGTGTACAGAGACATTGGGCCTCTAGATCCCTGCAGAGATGGAGACAGCCATAAGCTTCTTGGGCCACAGGCACTGACTTTTCAAACTGCCAGGGGTGGGTGCTCGACCCCTGGCTCTGCCCCAGGTCCCACCCCCACTCCACCCCTTCCCCTAAGGCCCCACCCTGCCTCCCCTCTTCCTGCCCAGTTCTGCCCCCTCCCTAGGGCATGCCTTATCCTCACTCATCCCCCCTCCCTCCCAACCTCCCTGCACGCCACAAAACAGCTGATTGCGGCGGGCAGGAGGCACAGAGATGACGGGGGGGCACTGATCCACGGGGCCCTCCGGCAAGCAGGAGGCGCTGGGGGGGGGGTGGAGGGCGTTAGAACATTGCGCAACTTTAAACGAGCATGTTCTCTAATTGAATAGTGACTTAACTTTAACCAGGGTGACTAAGTGAGGAGTTACTGTATCTCATTTTCACATACTCCAACTAAAAAAATACCAAGGACAAGGAAAAGCTGCAGCCCATTCATTTACTTGTTCTTCTTGCTCCTCAAGAGCAGGCAGTGCCATTTTTTAGCTGGCCGTGAAGTCCTTAGATCCCCCCTGCTTTCCCCCCCCCCCGCCAAAGATACGAGATCTAGGAAGTCTTCCCCTTATCCATGATCACAGAAAGCCAGACAGAATTCCACTGTGGTATCTGGAACACTGCATTTGCAGCATGCGCAATACCTGTGAATCCCACAGGGAGCAGAGAGTTCTCCAAAGGAGCCACATTCTGAACAAGGGTGTGGAAAAAAACAGCAACATTCCACATCCATATGCTGAAGGGGCCCAGAGAGGGGGAAAAAGAGAAAAATGAACCATCAACTCTTCATCAGCTGGCCCCTTGAAGGGGCAACTGCTGGGTAACAGCATTTCTGGTCGAATTAAGCCCCTGAACATCCCCCTCCAGCAGGTTACCTGTTGCTCTCGTTTCTGTTTGCGTAGTTGGATCCCCTCCTCTTCCCTTCTCCGACGCATTTCCTCAGGGTTTAGGGCTTTGTTTTTGTAACTCTTCATTCGATAGTTATCCTTATCCTTCGCGGGACTTGCCATGGTTTCTATGAAAGAAGAAACCAGAAAAGTAGGATCAGATTTCATTGCAGTCATACTGCCCTTCTCCCCCAAGGAAAATGGGCACGTGTGCGCCATTGCACAGAATAGTTCAGTTTAACAATCTCTTAACATAAGATGCAGTTTAGATAGCCAACTTAGAAAGTGCATTACTGACCTACAACTGGTGTGTTATTGTATTAGTGTGAGAATGTTCTAAGCTAGAAGCTTGACACAAACAGATCTACAACTCTGAAAAGCAACCTGGACCCGTACATCACTGTATGAGGCACACTTCTCACTGTGTGAGGTTAGTACTCACTGAACTATACCATTGTCCTCAGGAGACAGCAAGCCTGAAGCTACTTGGATTTTCAATACTTTAGATTGTGCCAAGAGTACCTGTAATCACAGGTACAAACAACACCTTCTAAGAAGATTATTCTTCCTCTCCTCCCCACCCCACATCCTCTACAGCAGGCCAACATGTCAAGAATTTGATGACCAGTAACCACAACATGTACTCAGACGTTTCAGAGCAGCCTGGTCTGCACAGAAGGTGTTACACTGAGTTAGGAGTTAAAGAAATTCCATTTAGACCCATTTTATGTTGTAATGTAGGGAGACTTTGCAATTTATGAAGTTCACACTTCCATAAATTTAACACAGCACAAGCACAACTCCAAACCATACAGAGGTGAACATAAGTAGGTCTGAAGTCTAGACAAGGCATAAAACAGTCCAGCAAAATTCACTTCAAAACAACTTCAGCCTAATTCCAGGCCCTTTAAAAAAAAAAAAAAAGAAATTACAAGCATGCAACACATCATTCAGCTGGGAATGGCATGTAGGCCAGGCTGACTATTTTGATGGTGTTCAGCTCTCTGAGAAGCACTGCTAATTATTTTTTTCATTTGTTTCATAACAATATTGTAAACTTTGGTGCCTACATATTCCACTCTAGATTCACAGAAATAAACAAACATTCTTGTATTTGGCACAGGGAGAGCAATTATTGCTAATTAGTGGCAAAAGAGGAACTCAGATGTAAGACGATGTAAGTTTCTCAGTGATATCCAGTTTATGCAAACATAGTACTGCCTCAACAGGGTTAGAAAAGTTTGGTATTCAAGTACAGATTCAGCCAAGCCTTGTGTTCAGTGTGTTTCAAACATTACATGAGCAGGTGTCATTCCCAATGCTGTTCTAAGATACAATTTAAAGAGTGTAGAGTAATCCCTTCCCAGGAGAACAAAACAACACGATAAAGTTCAGTACAAGTCTCCCTACCCCAAAAAGCTTGGCTGCTCCTAAGATTCCTACCTCAGGACTACTCCACCCACACCCAAGTCTTCTCTAGAGGTTCTCCCTCCTCCTTTATATCCACATGAGTTAAAGCCACAAGCCTCAGTGAGTCAGGAGAACCCATTTAAGGTTTCCCAGCAGGAGGACATCAGGGAGATTTTTTTTATATATACACATACACAGTGGTGTGTGGGTTCCTACTGTATTTTCCACTCCATGCATCTGATGAAGTGGGTTTTAGCCCACGAAAGCTTATGCCCAAATAAATTGGTTAGTCTCTAAGGTGCCACAAGTACTCCTTGTTCTTTTTAGTAAGGGGAAAGGTTTTCAGGATATAGTGTAATTTAAGTTGCAAGTTACTAGCTTAGTGTAAGACAAATGTTTTAAAGACCCAGTTTTAGGGTCAGCTTCTATTATAGCAGATTACATAAATGAGAGGTACAAGTGACCAACATCTTAATGTCAAGGCAAGTTAAATAGTCAGGAGAGTTAACCTGTGAATAGGAAAGGTAAAGATTTAAGTGAATTAGAGATCCAAAATCCCAGGGGAATAAAGCCACACACACACAACCAAAAAAAAAAAAAAAAAAATGGAAGAAACCCTAACACAGACACGATCACAGAAAAAAAGAGAATCTTGTTATGGTATCGGCTGTTAGAGGACATTCTCTCCCTCAGCCAAAAAAACTGAGAGGGGACTCGTCTGCAAACACAAATAAACCAAAAAAGCCAAACTCCCCAGGATATCTGCACCACTCCATATATTCATGTTGCAAGCAGCCAGCCTCTCTACCCCATACTGTTCCTTGTTGTGAAATGGACAAGCAAGACAACGGAGGGCCAGAAAACAAAAGATGCATGAAGAGATGGAATGAGTGGCAGGATGGATTGCAAGATGGTACAAACTATTTACTTCTAACTCTGCTTAACATCTCAAAGCCCAGCAAAAAGGCAGTTCCTCGTTGGTACAAGTTTAGTTAAACTGAAGAATGAAAACCCTTTAAAAAAAAAAAAAAAAAAAGACTTGCTCTGCCTTGGTACAGCAGTCCCTGCTTACCTTCTCAGAAACAGTAAGTCAAGGACTAAAATGTCTTTTAGTGAGCATTGATCCTGGATCATTGCTTGGAAAAGTTTATGCAGCCTGAAAACATTTGTAATAGTTCCAAGCACTTCTAGCCCTGGCACATCATACAACCTCAAGCACAATCATTGGTCCCTCTTCTAAATGGCAGTGCATTTTTCACTTACCAAGGCCCTGTCTATACTACAGCTAAGTCAGGGACCCAGGGGTAATCTATTATTTTTTGTCAAGGTCCAAATTTCTTAGTCAAAGTATAGTCAAGGTCCAGACTCCACAGCAAAATACAAAATGCAACAGTAGTGATAAATAGTAAGTAAATAAAAAGATTTCACAGTGTGTTCAAAAGCATCTAGTGGTCCAGACTTGTCCTGCAGTCCATCTATTGACTACTCCTGCAGGGAGCCTAACTACAACAGTTACCTCTTCTAAACAGAGAAGACCTAACCAAGTCCCTATGACTCGGACAAAACCTTGGACTAGGGGTTTCACCCAGTTAGGGTGATATAGTTCTACACTACTACTCTGTCACAGACAGATTCCCCCCCCCCCACTACCATATAGTTGTTCTATGGATGGGGCTTTTGCTCTGCACTTCAAACCAATGTAGTTTTTACCCCTTGGCAAAAAGCCTCATAAGACTATAAATGGGCCTGAACTGAAGGCTGGATCTGGTCACTGATTTGGTTTGGGTCTGTCTCATATTTGAAGTTCAGAGGAATAACTGGCAATTTCCCAAGATTATACTTAATGTAGCAGTTTTCCTTATTCTAAATGTCACCAGTTATGCATGACTAGCCCTTGAAGATGGATTTTCTTCACTAAAGATGAAAGTGAAGACCATGTGGAAACTAACTTCTCCCACCTGCCTCCCCTCAGCCCAATTATTATGGTGGGCTTAGAAAGGAGGCAAGAATTAAGTAATAGCAGCTGAATCAGAGGGTAGAGCTGATTGAAACCTATTAAGATCCTTATTCATATTGTACCAAGATGTCAAAATAGGCACATTAGAAATACCAAGGTAAGTGGTCAGCACATAAACTTTAATTAGGATGAAACAATACAACAGCAGCAGCATTAGTACCACTCCTATAAGTAACAATACTGCTATCTTAACATTAATGGCTCTATTACAGCCGCATACGGTAAACAATAACTGCAACTAGTTGTGTTCTGAAAGATTACAAAGGCATCCTAAAAAAATCCAGATCAAGACTTCCCCTTCAAAAAGTGATGGCTCACGTTAAAGGCAGTTTTAATGAACAGGACAAAAAACAAAACAAAAAGGGAGGAGGAAAATAGTTAAGTGGCTTAGTACGACATACAGGATTACTAGCCTGTTAGTCATATAAATAGCCAAATGACACATGACAGTTCAGCTGCCTGGAAACTTGCACAATCCCAATCTCTGTTCCTGGCTGGGCATGCCTTGGTGCTCTGGACAGCTCTCTTAGGTTCTGGACGCCAGGAAAACAGCGCAGTGAGACCAGCACCACATGGAAGTCTTAAAATGAGTGCCAAGTCTTAAAATGCAGTGAGACCAGCACCAGGATCCAAGTTCTTAAAATGTGCCAAGTTTGCCGTGTACCTCATCCGAAAGAGCCTTATGGATCTGAGCGGGCTACAAATGCTGGGCTACTGCTGGGAGGCCCTGTAGATTCAGCAAGCCATTCAAGAGGGATTTACATGCTGGCTAAAACAAAGCACAGCAGACTTCAGACAATTTACCTGGCACTCGATCTTCCATTACCTCTTGTACACGTTCACTAGTTCAGGTGCTTTCATCCGACTCTTTTCCCAGGGAGTCTTCTCCTTGATCCTCTAGTGAAGTAGTAATGCTGAATTTGTGACATTACATCCCATTTCCATGGCAACAGAGATGTCACAAATTCAGGATTAGGATTTCACTACAAGCTCAGGCAGCAGGAGATGGGCTGTGAAGTACAAGCTCTTCAGCAAATGCAAATATATGGAATAGAGAGCACCTTGCCAAGGAAAAATGCTTTGTGCACAAGTTGCTTCTTTTTAAGTTTGTTCTAGTGAAAAAGTCCCTATTAACCCAACCTACCTGCAAGTCAAGCTGTGTCAATGTTAACTATTAACCCAAACTTCACCACTGCTCAAATACTTGCAGGACAGCCCCACTGAGTAATGCTATTCACATAGTTTAAAATCTTTAGCTGCTAGGAAGAGCTATCAACTGTTAAAGCTCCAAGATGGCCTAAAATATTGAAGACAGATGTTTAAATGCCACTCAAACCACACACTTCCACTTGGTATTTTAATGTCCTGAGTTGGTGCTTTAAAATGCTATGTTTCTCACAACCAGAAGGGCTGTAGTTTAAGGTAAACCTGAATATCAGCACTTTTCTTTTTAAAAAACTGCTCATGAGTTTTAGATGTTGATAATCTAGAAATTTTGCATTTATATGGCTGCTCTGAATTTGGAGGATCCCAAAGCATTTTACAAGGTAAGTTGTTCTGACTCACTACAAGGGTGCCATCTATCCAGTCACCTTGAGTTCTCCTTGGGAGAGGGTTTCCCCTCCACAAGCACTGACTCAGTCCTACCCATTAAGTCAAGATCTGATGAGATCACTGCCCAAAATCATCAAGTCGTGTCTA